CACCTGACTTATTACCGAGGGAATACAATAATGTAAATGAAAGTTGTACCCTCTAACGGCTTTCAAAGTCTTCACGTTATGTCAAACTATTTATTGTATTTTATTATATATTTATTAATTACTTCCCCACCAAAGGAATAATTTTCCATTTCATATTACTTTTCGTTTCATAACTTGAGTTGTACTTCTATATTTCCTATACTTGGGTCGATCTATTATGTTAACAAATATTTACTGCAGTATTTACTTGTGTGTACCGATTTAAATGAGTTCAACTGGTCGATCTGAGACTAGGCTAAAATAAGAGAATGGAGACTAAGATCTCATTGTTCGATGCCATGGAATCTGTTGGAAAAGAATTAATTTCATTGTAAACGCATGTCGGACTACGATAAAAACGTGCCCGAAGTTTAAAAAATAATGGTTACCGATTTATTAAACGAATATACTAGACCATATGGAAAATATAAAATGTTTAAAGTATTATATAAGTAATTAAGTAATACGGGAGGTAAATAAGTGGTCTAGCATGTTTTTACAGATTTTTACATCACTTCTCTTTAACTTCTCTTCTTGTTTGTCTGCTACAAATCATATAATCGATATTTAACACACTTCTACCTGTCCAATCTATTTGAAAATTTGCACACAAGCGTAAAGCCGGAGACGATGCATGAATCAATTGACAGAAGAATAATTACTGATAATTTAAAAAGTATGTATTAAAAAATTTTAAAATACTTTTTAAATATTAAAAAAGAAAATCAGAAATTCATTGTACATGTGTAACATTGGAGGCGCTGGCTTCTTTAAAAAGGCTGTCTCTAGAAAGTAATTTTTAAACGCATATTATTATGTTTATCATTACCGCCCAGAGAAATGAAATCTCGATTGTGACCGCCAAAGATTTGTAGAAAATCGAACTGTGAATCTTAGAGCTGTAAAAATATAACTCAGTACTCACTGCAGTGAGTGACAGAGAGCGCATTTTCTCGTCGACGAAAACTTGAGGTCACGGACAGACGGACAGACAGCCAGACAGACAGACGGACGGACGGACATGGCGAGCACAATAGTGCATTTTTTACATAAATGAGAAAATGCGCTAAAAATTAACTAAAGCTGTGAGGCTGCATTCACATTTGTTGTTATCAACGTGTGCTTGACCTCAACGTTACTTATATCGTCATGAGCTTGTCAAGGTCTGCAGGTTTGGCTCGTCAACGAGCGGTTATCGCTTCCTTGACAGCCGCGATAAACGACTATAACGCTTACGTGGTCTTTTCATGGTCAATATTTTGTAGTTTTTAAAAGAACTCAGTTATTACCTAAGCAGTTATTTACGATGGAATTACTTGCAAAACAATTTATCACGCAGTAATCACAACCGTCGTTTTAAGTTAAGAATAGAATAGAAGTGTCGGCATTGAAGAAATAGGTCCATGGTTTAATATAATTAAAGTTTAAACACGTCAGAACTCAAAGAATGGCTGAACACGAAGCTTGTGTCGGGTTACAAGCCATCATGGCGGATGTGTAAAGTTTATCTCTGACGCACGTTATCACGTTCTTTGTGGCATTTCATGCCAACCTTATATGTACACTACTATTACAAGTTACAATTTTTCTCGTTGTTGCTGTTAACGCTGTTCACGCTTACATTGTTATCGCTTTTACTGAGATTACTCAGTTTTTTCTATTCTCTATAATCCCTTACGTGCTACTGAGCGTTGCTATAGTTCAGGCTATTATTAAGTACGTTGTTAAAAAGCGCCGCTATTATGACTCTGTTGGGAGCGGAAGTTTTAACGTTTGCTGCAAGTTACGCTGGCCTCTGAAGTGTCGTTGTCGGACCACATTATATTATCTTGCCTGGTCGTGCCAGTAAACCTCCTATATAAACAGACATGTTTTGTATATAATGTAAGTTTTTAGCTTAATAATTATGTTAAAAATTTAGTTGAGGCGGTGATTTATTGATGATGATCTGTAAATAAACGCTAGATTAAGAAATTGCACTACGACGAAAAATTTTATTTATTGTCATTTTGCTATGCTGCAAAAAGTTATGGAATGTGGGGGAAAGTGCTACCTCGGAACCTGATGTGAATAAAAATTCGTAATCTTGGCGAAAAATTATTAGCGAAAGCAAAGAGAGAAAATCAGAAAAAATGATGAATAACCGAGAATTGTCAAAATAAATGATGAAAAATATTTGCCAATTTAAATGGTTCAATGTTTTTTGGGTCAAATTAGTTTTTAGTATTAGTTTAATTAGTTAGTTTTGGTTAATTAGTTTTTAATGAATTAATTAATTTGTTTTTTCTATTTTATAAACTCATTGAAACGTAAATTTAATAAAAAATTAGATTGAAACAAAAAACAAAATAAAATGTATACAAAATATTATCTTTATACAAAAAATTAAAATTACAAAAAATATTCTTTTGAGTGGCTTCATTATTTTCGTAATGAAGTTCATTTTCTTAGATGTTTCAATCATTTTTTGTGTCCAGCTAAGAGTTTGAAATTCAGTCGCTGAAGAAATAACATTAAAAAATTCGCAACTTTTTAAATGTATCGATATCTATGTATATGTTGCCAAAAATGCTGTACGTTTATGGTTTGCAAGTCGCTTAATTTCCAGTGCACAACCTTAACGTCTAGTACTGTAAACAAATTATTTCATTTTTAAGAGTAAAATAATGCCGTTAACAAAATTATTTTTATGCCCTCAACACTACTGTAAATTTAAATTTAAACCAATTTTCTCCTGAAATATTGCAGCATTTTCTATCAGATAAAAACCTTCGAATACGTGAATTTCTAGACTCAAAGGTGGGAAGGCAACGTAGGTGATCCGCTGTCTGGGACTTCACCTAAGAGCCGTTCTCCACGGACTCGAAATTATGGAAGACTGAAAACATCGCGTGAAATAGTTTGATATCATAGCGGTAATAGCGGTCCCAGCGTTTATTAGACCGTTGGCCTGTCGCCGATTCTTAACATTGCAGAACATCCACAGCATTTTGCGGACTTGAACTCTCAGCTCAATGCTTCAAAATTTCTTTGCTTAGTTAACCGCCCGGCCCGGCCTCTCTTGTCGATTCTAACCATAAACTGCCGCGCAGAGCTGGGATCGAACCTGCAACTCTCTGCTCCAATCTTAATACTCTAACTTTAACCACTGTGCCACCCTGCACTCCACGAGCCTATTCCTTCAGCACGGTCACAATTATACTATGCTTTACCAGTATGAGTATACCAATGCTTCAAAGTTCTTCCTTGGACTGCATTTATAAATTCGGCAAAAATACCCCCAAAAGCCCCCGTTATAGTGTTCAGTAGTGAGATCCGAAACGATATGCTATGCCTATGATAATAGCCTGCCATGCTGCCACTGCCAGGTTGTTCCTTTATGGAATCAGTTTTATTTTTTAACGTAGTTAGCCCACTATAACCGTTTTCTAAGTTGTGCTTTCGAAAACCTTTTCTATGGTACACTTAAATATATGCAGCAACTCAACACTCGAAAAACGAGTTTATCAGTTACCACAGCAATTTACAAGATGAACTGATATTGAAAATATTTTAACATTTATCGAAATTAGTTTATAATGACATTATAATGCAACATTCAATTGTTTTCAGATAGTGAAATCGAGACTCTAAGAGGAAAATTTTCCGTATTGATAAATGAAGCAAAAACAGTTATTTCACCCATGATTTTGCCTGACAGCCAGGCACCATCATTTTAGTCCTCGCTTTAACATAATCGAAATATCTTCACAAAATTCCAGAAAAAAATTCGCAGTTCAAAGGCAATAGAAATTTTTCTGTTAAATCAACAGAATACATTGTAGATTGGATTTAATTATTTTCGGATGACGTCGGGCTGTGGTTAAGTGCATAGCCCACTTGACTGTAAAGAGTGGTAGTCAACACCGCCGTTAAAACTGGTGGATGAGCTTCCCGGATAAAGATTAACAGCTTACGTAGAATGTCGATTACCAGGCATTATAATATTTTCATACATTTTTATCTTTTATCATTTCACAGATCGAATGAAAAGTTTGATTCGAATTTAACTCAATCAGACATACACGATTCAAGTATTGTCTTTCTATATCAGAAATTGGATGAAATAATTCTTCATTGTAAATTGTATTATTTTCACATAAGCATGGTAATCCTAATCGACTAAATCAAAGTCTTATGAAGGTCGTGAGTTAATAGTTTCTTGATTTAAAAGGTTTTTGTTTCATAATTTATTTACAAATGTGACATAGAAACTCTCTCCATTCAAACTGCATAAGTGCTTAATATAATAACAATTTTTCTAAAATTAATATTCAATTGAATGTATGAAAGAGTTAACAACACTTTTGATAGATGTATAAATTGTAATTTTTATGATTATGTTTGAATATGAAGATTCAATTTTATTATTCATAAAAAATGCAGATGAATTCATACATAAAAAATATGAACTCATATCACATCTGTTTTGAACACGAGGAAAGAGCCATGTAGTACAATATAAATATTTTTCAATCAGTCAGTGTACCAGAACCTACCTTGTAATGCACCAATGGGCAAAAAAATATCAAGATAAATTTAAAGGTTTAAATTTGTGATGGTGACTTCCCAACACGAATTTAGCTTCGATGTTTATATTAATACCTGCTAATTACAACAAAAAAGTTTACGATAATGCGATTTAGGCACCCAACGGTTCAAACATACGTAGTATGGATAAAATCACTTTTTAAAAATACCATTATTCAAATAGTTATGACAAAGCCATTAAATAGTTCAGGGGTTTCTGTCAGACAAATTCTATAAGGAATGTTTTAATGTAACTCATACATTTCTTATCAAACTTTATTTCCAATTTTATTGAGTTTAAGTGGCTGGCTGGGTAAATCTCCAGCCAAACGCCAGTCCGCAGCCAGTCAGCCGATTTTGGCTTCTTCTTTGATCATTCTACGTCTGAGTGTTTGAGGCTACACACGTATCATCGCTGCAGCTGCCGAAGCTTGCAATTATCTGGAGGCCCATCATCGATATTGTCAGAATTGTTTGACACTGATCACTCTATTTATTACTTAGGGCGAATCAAGACAAATAATTATCTGATAATATTTTGAATTTTAAAGGTAATGTGATATCAAAAGAGTTCTCGAAATAGCCACTTATGCAGGGTAGTCTAGAACACAGCCACACAGTCCGCGCGTGCAGTTAGCTCATTTCTCATATCGATATCGCTGTTATCAAATTATATAGGAATTTGTATGATTATCTATTGAATTAATCATGTTCATATAACTAACTATCTTTTCAGCAGGGTGTGCTTTCGTCAAGTATTCATTTGGTGTAGTAAGTCGTGGATTATGAGATTCTCACGGTGAGTCACAGCGTCCGCCATGTTGGATCGGCTGAACTCGGACCGTCTCCCATATACACGACGAATAAGTTTTTGTACACTCTCACTCTATCTCACACGGATATTTTTCTCTACATTCTAGCCCGCTACTCCGCTATTAATTTTTAAATTATTTTAAACCTTCTAAATGTATAACTTAATGAGGTGAGTATAAAGAAAAAATTGTGCACATAGAAGAAAATCTCGTCGGTTTGGCAACTTTAAGCGAGTAGAGGCGGGAGTGGGGTGAGGGGACGGCAATGTTGGGGGTTAGCTTGGGATCGCTTGAGGAATGTGGGGGCTAAGGAGCAACGAGCAAGGTCTCCTGTCTTTTCGAACTCTTACCTATGGTTATGTATTTGTTTTAGAAATCTGCCCCAAAATGGCTTTCTGGATTTTTTAGCGTGTTGATCAATCTATTTTATGAAATGTACACTGATAGACAAAAACTTGATTTTTTAGTTGCAAGCAAAAGTGGTCTAGGTTTCATTCCTGATGAATCCGGTATCTCGTAGACCGGATGCGTGGCTGCGTCATGAGGTACAACCGAGCCATTCATATCCACTAGCCTAACGTTTAGGTTAATTCAGGTGCGCTGAATCTCGAGAGAAAATTCACAATTTTAAGCCATTAGCCAAGCCTATTTTAGACCTTATCTCCTGATGTGTTGACACTGTTTACTCAAGATTGAGCTCGCCCATGCTACGTGCGTTCCGGTGGCCGTGGGCTGATGATATAGTATTGGGATTCTTTCTACAAAAACCAGTTAAACCACAGGCTGTGTAGAGAAAGTCGCTCTGTTCTGAACACGTGAAGTACGGCTATGAAGAAGTAATCGCCTCATCTTAAGCGATGAATCAAACATACTAGAAGAGAAAAAACATGCGTACTCGGTTTCTTATCAGTGGCAAGGTTCACCTATATTGCAGGTGCTTTCATTTTATACACAAGGGGTTTGGAATTAATTGAAATTGTTAATTATTGGGGTAATGCATCCTAATTGAACTCGCACCCATGGCTTGTATTACTATTTATTGATTAGTCTAAGCCGTAGCTACTTTTTCTCAATCGCAAAATTCTTCCGGCTCTATTTCCGTTTTTTTTTTACAAATTTCAGATTTGTTTATTTTAAATTTAGCGCTTATGATTGATTTTTGCTTCCAATCTTAATTTGAAAATTTCGCTTATAACGTTATTACTATCCCATGTGTTTCCTCTTACTACGTTATTCATTTTCGCGTATTACGTCCTAACTAGTGCATTGTCACGTATGACGTTCTTCAAATTTGTTCGTTCAAATTAGTGTCACGCATTACGTTCTTCAAATTTGCTCGTTCGTTCAAATTAGTGTTACGCATTACGTTCTTCAAATTTGTTCGTTCGTTCAAATTAGTGTTACGCATTACGTTCTTCAAATTTGTTCGTTCGTTCAAATTAGTGTCACGTATTACGTCCTTTCTCGTCTGTCAATTTCCGGAATTTCGGTGTTCCTGTCCGTCTTTGTTCGCATCACTCGTCCCAGGTTCGGTGCGTTCGTTCTCAAGGCTCGTCGTCAGTTTTCTAAGCAGTTGTTGATGTGGCCACGCGGTTCTTTGTGTTGCATCTACTTCCCTATTATTAGCGTAGATCATTAGATGTGTACCTAGATGCTTATTATTCCGACTGTAGAAATTTTGGAAATATGTTCGAGCGATTACTTTCCGTCGTTTGAGACAACATGGCTATTTTATTGCGTCCATTTTCCTTCAATATCTGAATTCAATATTAATTAAATGTTAAATTATTACTTTTTTACTGGTAATTATGTATCACATTAATTCCTGTCAGCTCGAGCAAAAGCGACCTTACAGGTTGAGAACTTCAGAGCATGTTGCGGTTTCTGTATAATGCTAGCAAATTCTCAGTCGTAGGCTCTTGTGGAGAAGCGTTGGGGATTCATCTTGATTAGGCTAGGCATTAACAAAAAAGTACAGCGTTTTACTGGATGAACCCTATTTACCTCAATTGGAGTTGATCGACTCCTAACTCTCTAATTTCCGCCTTTAATCTATTGGTGAAGGTCTGAAGGAAAGTAGTAGGTAACTTGACTTGGCCAATTGGTTCAGTATGCCAAAATACGACAAAAAATCTAACTTAAACAAAGCCATGTAAATAAAGCTAGTGTGACCTTCAAGGTGAACGGTGACTGTCTACATGTAGTCTATGATCGTAGGCGTGTGCGTAGCTGCATGTGCGCGGTGAGTGGACAGCTGCGCGCATGTACGAGTAACATGTGTGCGTATCTCGTGTGTGCACGAGGGGCTGACATCTGGGCGTATGTGCAGGTTACATGTCGTGTGCGTGTCTGATGTGTGCACGCGAAGCGGACATCTGTGCCTGTGTGCAGTTGGCGTGTTGGGGAGCTTATGCGTTCGTGGGGATGAATTATACGGCGTGTGTGCGCCTTGTGTCGCGATATATTTGTGACGTGAACGCGTAGGGATGCATTAACACAAGTCTTGGCCTTGATTACGTGCCTGAATGCATTCTAATTACTAACAAAAACGACAGTTCACTGCGCTTGACATTTTGAAATATGGCTAAAATTTTTTTCAATTTGACAGTTGTGTAGGTTTACTGCACAATTGTTCCAGTTGTTTCAAATTTCATTTGTAATGATTTTCAGTTGTTGGTAAAAGTGTATTTGCTGTTCCTCACAATTGTATAAATAATCAATTGAATTAACTTCGTTTGAAATTATGGAATTCGTTTCATTATTTACGGAATCTTCTATGAATTATCAGTTACATTGATTCGATGGAAATGGCGGCAATTTGGAACCTCATTTTATAATTGAAATTTTTTTTGTGCTGAGCTTATAAAAATGCGTAGGAAGAAAGTGTTTCAACATGAATATTGCTAGTGATAGATTATTGGGAGTGGGATTAACCAAAGACTAGGGCCTCCTTCTCTAATTGGCACAATGTATGTGATACCGTGAGCGTGCCAGAACTGAAAAACCTTACTGGAAGTTGGACAAATAGTGAACAAATATGCTTGTCTGAGTTATTGAACCTGCCAACTCGTGTAAATATTGAACGTGGATAATTTGTTACCAACTGCAAAAAACGTTCACATCTGAAAATAAAAGTTGCTTCGTGGAAAGAAACCACTCTTAACGATATCTACATCTGCTGCTATTTAGATTGATTGGTTGAAGTTGATAAATAAGTTTTTGTGGGCAAGATTAGCAATTCACTTGAGAAGGTATCACAGTTACCACGCAGCACGTGCGATTGAGAGTAGGGTACGCTGGCGAGTGGCGGGCGACATTGATCAATATTTGACTGGTACTTGCCCCCTACCACGAACAATTGAAAGTGAACCTATGTTGCATGTTGGTGGTCTTCTAGCACATGATATTTTAAAGTATACTACGAGGAGTCGTTTTCTGCTATTGTAGAAATTCCAGAAGAATTTTTTCGTGAGTAAGGAAACTCGTTACTCACCGGCAGCAATTTGCAAATTAGCTCTTTCATTATTTAGGTTTGCAAGAGTACCTATGATATTTTTCGCATTCAGGGGGACTATTGTGAACTCGCAAAATGTTACTGTAAATCGTACATAGTTTTAGATCAGTTGAAAACTCCATACCTTCTGTTCGTCCCTTCTGTGAAAATGCATAATATTAACTTTTCCGGGCGGTGCTGCGAACTAACATTTTCGCGTCAATGTTACTAAACCCTCTTCCCAACACGAATAGATTCTTCCACTAATACAAATAAAACTTTCCATTATTAATAGTTAATTATACCCGTATTCCAGGGTTTTCTATTGAAATTAATAACACGCTTACCCGATGTGTGACAGTGATAGGGCAGTATTTGTGGATTTTAAAAGAGTTTCACTACAGCGAGACCAGGAGAGCTGAGCGAACGGTCGGTTTGCTTCCGGTTATGGTGGCGTAGCGGGTGTAGGCCGATCTATCTCATCCTTAGTAAATTAGCCTAAGACAAACTTCCTGAATTAAAGTATTTTCTTGCATATGTCTTACTTCGTACTTGGAAGTAACTTTCGGATTTCAGTAAAAAAGCGTGTGGTATGGGTGAAAATGAAATTCTGTAGTTAATGAGTTTAATTAAGTTTGAGCGATTGCGGGTAACTACTGGGGGTTATTTCCTGGTTATATAGTCTGGGTGCGCCTCATTTCGGTTGATTTTGTCATTCGTTCTTTAAACGAAATTGTATGCATTTCAGATGAAAAATTACATTTGCAAGCAGCGTTTTAATGAAGTTAAATCGAAATCTGCTTCTATTTAAATCTGCCCGACTAAACATTCTCAGAAACTTTTTTGTTATCTAATACTTCTCTCTCCGTTTTTCATGTTGTGGAAAATCGTCTGTTCCCTCAACAGTGATGATCAATTCAGAAAAAATAATTTTGTATAAAGCTATTTCGACAATGAATTGTTGGTATTTTGAAGATGAATTAGCATATGATTCAAAACGTATCCAGCTAGGAATGCACGTAAAATTTACAATTTCATAGAGGAATAACGCATTAGCAGGGTATCCGTATCTAGCTGCTTGTAACAGTCGCCTGGAGGTCGTCGAGTGGCAACTATTTTCTCATTTCGTCATCGGCGAAGTGGAGCTCCTTGGCATGATGAGTCGAAACTTTCTACGTATTTGTACACCAGTGTTTTACTAGGTTGTAAGAAACTTCCCAACAAACTGCATGAAAAATTGTTCATT